CGCTGGGGGTGTGCGGATGAGTCTGGCTGTTCCTGGAGAGGCCCTGGGCACTGCGTCTGTGTGCGCGTCCGCTCGGTGTCCCGTCGAGGGCGGCCCCCACGTCGCTCTTGGCGTCATGTCCTGGCCTGGGTGTGCCAGTGGGCTCAGCCCTACCCAGGCCCCCCGAGGGCCCCAACACCCCAGGAGATGGGGAGCAGCAGGGATGGTTGTACTCCAGGGTGCTGCAGTGACCCTTGGGGACCCGCCCCGCCCAGGGGCTGCGCACCTCACCTGGGGAGGCGGAGAACCGGAGCAGGGCCGGCTCGGCTCCTGCCGCTTCCTGCAGTCAGCTGTCCCCCCTTCCCCGTTTGCTGTTGAGGAACCTGGAATTTGTGCTTCAGCGGGAGGCTGTTTAATGATTGGCCACGAGGAGGTCATTTATATTGGCTAAGCGGGCTTAATTAGACGGGACTCGGAGGTTACCGTAAGAGCACAGAAAAGCTGTTAAGGGGTTAACCTCTGAGAGATTACATTGTATTCAGCGCTCTGTTAAAGTTTGAATTAATTTTTCCCATGGGTTTGTTCACATTCTAATTTTCAACTAAATGAGACATCTGTTTCAGAAAAGGAGGATTTGCTCTGGTTGTCATGGAAACTATCATTCTGTAGGAAAATTATTCCAATGGTTACTTTAGAACAGAAAGACAGAAATTCAGGACATAAAGCCGCCTCCCATGGCTTAGTGGGGATTCGCTTCCGTCCGCCCTCCTCGGGGGCTGTGATGTGCTCTGGACAGTGGGGCTCCTGGACCCTCAGGATGGTGACGGTGGGTCCAGGCACTGGGCTGCGTTGGCAACCAGTACGGGGGTCCTGGGAGACCTCCAGACCGCATCACGGGCATTCGTGAGTCTCAGACTGCGGTGACAGTGTGGGCAGCGAGGGGTGGGCTGGATGGGGGCGGACTGGGCCCCTGGAGCCCTCGTCTGCCCTGACCGCTGACACACCAGGGGCCCCTTGGGGCTCAGGCCTGCCGCTCGCAGTGGTCGATCCCACCTGTCAGGTCTCACTGGACGTGGAGAGGGTCGTCTCATCGCCACACACAGCACGTGGCCAGGACCTTTGCTTCCAGGAGGGGCTGCTCTTTTTGTCCCCTTTGCCCAGGGCAGAGCCTGATGGTGGTTTCTGTGAACGTCGTACAGGAGCGCTGGGGGCTGTCCAGGCCTCGTGGGCGGCTCAGAGGCCTCTGGGAGTGAGGTCTATTCGGTCCACCGCCGGCTTGCCCACCCAGCTGCTTTTGCCCACCTTTGAGAAGCCCCCACCTCCCAGACTGGGAGCAGTGCTCCCCAGCCAGCAGTCATCCTGGAAAATGTCTCTTCTGGATGTCTTGTGCATGATTTGACTCTTCCTGTCCCCCGACATTCTTTTTATTTATTTTTTTTTTTTTGAGGCAGAGTCTCGCTGTGTCTCGTAGGCTGGAGTGCAGAGGTGCGATCTCAGCTCACTGCAACCTCTGCCTCCCGGGTTCAAGTGATTTTCCTGCCTCAGTCTCCCGAGTAGGGATTACAAGCGTGTGCCACCACGCCCAGCTAAGTTTTGTATTTTTAGTAGAGACGGGGTTTCACCACGTTGGCAAGGCTGGTCTTGAACTCCTGACCTCAGGTGATCCACCCGCCTCAGCCTTCTAAAGTGCTGAGATTACAGGCGTGAGCCACCGTGCCTGGCCCCTGTCCCCCTACATTCTAATAAAAGCTGGAACATCACCTCTTCCTGTTGATGGAACTCCGGGGTGTTGAGAAGGCATTTTCACAGTGGCGGTGCAGTGTGATCCTCCTGAGCCCTCGCCTCCTCCCTGCTCTCGTCCCCTGCGTCAGGCAGTGGGGCACAGAGGAGAGCGAAGGGACTGAGGACAGAGGTGTCATTAACCCCATCGTTACACAGGAGGAAACCGAGGCTGGAAGAGGGGCAGTAATCAGCCAGGGGCAGAACTGGGGTGTCCGATGCCTACTACCCAGTAGCGGAGAACAAGGCAGCCCTCTGGTCCCCTGGACCTGATGCTGTGGTATCAGCTGCCCCCATTCCTCAGATCATGTAGGCAAGGCTGGCCCTAGTATGCATTTGGAGATGTTCTGATGGCCCCCCAGATGGGTGGGGGTGTGATGGAGAGGGAGAAAGGGGCAGGGGTGACAACAGGAACAGTTCCAGACCTGCTGCCCTGATGAGATGTGGGTTTTCACCCAGCTCTGCCTGGGCCTCGCTGTGTGACCCTGGGAAGAGGAGCAACCTCTCTGGGCGTTGGGATGGGGGAATAGGGTGGATTCTGGCTCCCCAAGATTTGAAGGCATGTGTTTCCAAGAAGCTGGCAGGAAACTGTCACCCCTAGAGGAAGGCTCCTTGGTGTTGGGTGAGGGGAAGGCGGGACAGGCAGCGGCTACCAGGGGGCCAGCTCCTGGGGGCCTGCAGGTTCTCTGATAGGGTTCCTCGTGTTTCCTTCAAATAACCACCCCCTGCCATGGCTCTCAGGAACCAACAGACGTGGTCTCTCCATACTGATGAGGCTTCCTCCTGCCTTGTAAATATTGTGTAAGATTTTTGAAAATTGGAGGCTGTGTTTGGAAGGCAGCTCCAGAAATGGTTGCTTCTTTTTATGTTGGCTGATGGGGCTGGGGCTCCGGGGAGGACCCTAGTGGAATCCAAGCTGCTGAGTCCTTCCCAGTAGCACCCTACCCACTCTCCCTGCCTGCTTGGTTCAGCCAGTGGGGCTCGGAACGTGTGCAAGTCCACGGCATCAGAAAGTTCCAGCTGTGAGCTCAGCCCGTTAGAACTGGGGCGGCCGTGGGAGCTGCCAGCGAGGCGCTGTCGGCTGCTGTTCACCAGGAACCGCGGCAGGAAAGCATTTTCCTCTGTGACTCAGTCCACGTGGATGTGGGTGGCTGTTTAAATAGAAATGTATTTAACTGAAGTGTCCCTTCCCTGGCTTGATGGACTCTTGAATCTTGGGGAGCTGAGGTTTTCTAGTCTTCTTCTTTTTAATGCTGTTGCCATTCATGAAAACGCAATTTGAAAGACGCTGCTGTAAGCCAAAGGTTTTCCATTCAGGTTCCATGGGTGATCTCAGGAACTGAGTCCATGATAATCATGGTGATAGCAATCATGATGGTGGTGGTGGTATAGGAGGTGATGGTGGTGATACTGTTAATGGTGGTGGATGATGGTGATGATGATGGTAATGGTGAGATGGTGGTGATGGGGGTGATGATGGTGATGTTGATGTTGATAATGGTAGTGGTGATGATGGTGATGGTGATGGAGATGATGGTGGTGATAGTGATAGAGGAGGTGATGGTGGTGATGGTGGTGATGGAGGTAATGATAATGATAATGGTCGTGGTGATGGAGGTGGGAGTGGTGATGTGGAGGTGGTGGTTATGGGGGTGGTGGTGATGGTGGTGATGGAGGTGGTGGCGGTGGTGATGGAGGTGGTGATAAAGATGGTGGTGGTGGTGGTGGTGATGGAGGTGGTGGTGATGGAGGTGGTGGTGGTGATGGAGGTGGTGGTGGTGATTGGGGTGATGGTGGTGATGGAGGTGATGGTGGTGATGGGGATGGTGGTGATGGAGGTGGTGGTGGTGATGGGGGTGGTGATGGGGGTGGTGGTGGTGATTGGGGTGGTGGTGGTGATGGAGGTGATGGTGGTGGTGGTGGTGATGGGGGTGGTGGTGATGATTGGGGTGGTGGTGATGGAGGTGGTGGTGGTGGTGGTGATGGGGGTGGTGATAAGGGTGGTGATGGTGTTGGGGGTGGTGGTGGTGATGGGTGTGGTGGTGATGGAGGTGGTGGTGGTGATGGGGGTGGTGGGGGTGGTGATGATAAGGTTGGTGGTGGTGATGGGGGTCGTGGTGATGGAGGTGGTGGTGATGGTGATGGTGGTGGGGGGGAGGAGTTGCTAGTAATGGAGGTGGTGGTGGTGGAAGTGCTGGTGATGTGGAGGTGGTGGTTATGGGTGACGGTGGTGATGGTGGTGGTGATAAAGATGGTGGTGGTGGTGGTGATGGGGGTGGTGGTGATGGAGGTGGTGGTGATGATGGAGGCGGTGGTGATGGAGGTGGTGGTGGTGATGGAGGTGGTGGGGGTGGTGATGATAAGGGTGGTGATGGTGATGGAGGTGGTGGTGGTGATGGAGGTGGTGGTGGTGATGGGGGTGGTGGTGATGGAGGTGGTGGTGATGGCGATGGTGGTGGGTGGGGAGGAGTTGCTAGTAATGGAGGTGGTGGTGGTGGAAGTGCTGGTGATGGTGGAGGTGGTGGTGATGGAGGTAGTGGTGAAAGTGGTGATGCTGGTTACTTAACCAACATAAAGGGCCTGTTCTTGTGGAATCACGCATGGGTAAAACCTATGGGATGATTCTGGTGCCTTTGTTGCAAATGACTGAAAACCCAGTTCAAATGGCTTTGTAATGGCCCATATAATTGGGAGGTGCTGAGGTAGGTGGGTGTCTGGTTCAGTTTAATCCAGCTGTTTCTTGGGATAGCTTAACAGCTGCCACAGCTCCCAAGGCTGGCAGCTCACTGTTTATACACAGCGATGACAGTATCCACTTTTCTTCTCCTTTAAAGAATCTGAGACTCCGTGCAATTGGAAGAATCTAGGTGATGTGTTCATTGAATGGACTAGGGGGAACATCTGGCACTGATGGGTCCTGGTCTTGTTTAGGGAGCAGGTTACCAAGCTGGGATTGGGTTTAAGGATCTAGGTCCACCTGGCTCCACCCTCCCAAATGGGGATGGATTCAGCCCTCCCTGGACTCCCTGGGCAGAGCTTCCAGTATAAGCAAGAATGAGCAGCCCACACCTGGAATCGGCTCTCTTTTGACTGGGGGTCCACACACCCCACCTGGGTCTTCCCTGAGTCTCCAGGTAGTGAGCTGGTCCTGAGGGCCGCCTGGCCTGTGGGGAGCTCCCCGTCCCTGTGACCGCCCCGCACCCTTGCCCGCCTGCCCTCAACCGCCTGCTCTTCTTCTCCAGGCAGCCCTGGTTCTACGGCTGGGGCTTCAACCTCCCACGAGGCCAGCCTCTGCTGGAGAAATGGAACCTCATTCCCGAAGGCGTAGACATCCTGATAACCCACGGACCGCCACTGGGTAAGGCTCGCCCACCTGGGCCGGGGGGGCGGGCTCCGTGACAGGGTGCTGGCTGAACCTGGCCTGCCTAGGGGAACTTCGGAGGGGTTCTGAGTACCACTTGCTGGGGCACTGGGGACACATCGCCCCATGGTCTCTCTTGTTTGCTGAGTGCTCACTGAGTGCTGGGGGCTTGACTTGTTACCTTGTGGGCTCCTCACAACAGAATGAGAGGCCAGAAAACCCTCCGTGTGGCCTCAGCTCGTGCCTCTGTTGACCTGAGTCCCAGGTGCTGAAAATCACCAGGCCCCTACACAGGGCTTCATCCAGGCAACCCTCACCCCTCAGAAACCTGGGGTTCCCGCTCTCTCACCCCCACCCAGCCCAACATGTCCAGGGCCTGTGGACGACCTCCCATCTCGCCTCTCTGCCCCCAGCGTACCAGCCAATCCACACTGAGGCCATCCCTCACCTGCATACCACCTCCCCCCCCCCCCACTGTCCCATCTGGGGCTTCCTCACTTCCCTGTTTCCTCATTCCCACACCCTGGCCACCAGCACGTCTCTCCCATTCCACCTCCAGTCTGTCTCCCGCTCCTCCTTCTCTCCATACTGCTGAGCCTGTCTCTGGCCAGGACAATGGCTTCTCTCTCTCTCCCATAGTCATGGTGGAGGTGGTAGTGATGGAGGTGGTGATGGTGGAGGTGGTGGTGATGGTGGTGATGGAGGTGGAGGTGGTGGCGGTGGCGGTGGTGGTGATGGAGGAGGTGGTGGTGGTGCTGGTGATGCTGGTGATGGTAGAGGTGGTGGTGGGAGATGGAGGTGATGGTGGGAGGTGGAGGTGGGTGGTGGTGATGGAGTTGGTGGTAGTAATGGAGGTAGTGGTGGTGGTGATGGAGATGATGGTGGTTGTGGTGGTGATGGAGATGGTGATGGTGGTGATGGAGGTGGTGGTGGCAGTGGTGGGAGGTAGAGGTGGTGGTGATGATGGAGATGATGGTGGTGATGGAGGTGGTGGTGGAGTTGGTGATGGAGGTGGAAGTGGTGGTGATGGAGGTGAGGTGGAGGTGTGGTAGAGGTGGTAGCAGTGGTATAGATGGTGGTGGTGGTGATGGAGGTGGTGGATGTGGAGGTGGTGGTGGGAGATGGTAGTGGTGGTGGAGGTTGTGGTGGTGGTGATGGTGATGGAGTTGGTGGTGGAGGATGAGGTGATGGAGTTGGTGGTGGAGGATGAGGTGGTGGTGGTGGTGGTGGTGGTGATGGAGGTGGTAGTGGTGGAAGGTGGAGGGTGGAGGTGGTGCTGGAGGTGGTGGTGGAGGTGATGGTGGGAGGTGAAGGTTGTGATGGTGATAGAAGTGGTGGTTGTTGCGGAGGTGGTGGTGGGAGATGGTAGTGGTGGTGGAGGTTGTGGTGGTGGTGATGGAGTTAGAGGTGGAGGATGACGTGGTGGTGGTGGTGTTGGTGATGGAGGTGGTAGTGGTGGGAGGTGGTGATGGAGGTGGTGATGGAGGTGGTGATGGAGGTGGTAGTGGTGGGAGGTGGTGATGGAGGTGGTTATGGAGGTGATGGAGGTGGTGATGGAGGTGGTGGAGGTGAAAGTCTTGCCCCTTCCAGTCCATTCGCTTCCCATCAGCAGGAGGGAGTTCTCTGTATTCTTATATGTGCCATGACACCCCTCCAGGGGGAACGCCTGGCACCGATGGGTCCAGGTCTTGGTTAGGGAGCAGTCTGTACCCCCTGTGACTCCCTTAGTCCTCTGAATGAAGTTCAGTCTCCCAGCAGTTCAGCCCACATCAGCATCTTCTCCCACTGCTGCCTCTGGAAACCCACCATCACTCCCTCAGTGCTTGGCGCTAGCCCCTGGTCTGGGTGACACTGGTCCAGGAGTTAACCCTTGCAGTGTGTGCCTGGGTTCGAGGGCCCCCCCAGGCTGTAGGAACAGCCAAGCCCCGTGGGACACATCCAGGGGTGAAGGAAGCTTAAGGAGTCAGGAGAGATGACTGCTGTTACGCTGCCTGCAGGGCTTACATAAGCTGTGACCCCTGAATTGGGTCTGGGGAGGTAGAGAAGGCGAGGGGAGGGGTGTCCCAGGCAGAGGCCACGGGGCAGGCTGTAGGGTGAGGCGTAGGACAGCTCGAGTGTCGTTGGCTCACATACCCATTCAGGAAGAAACTCCTGACACCACTGTATGCCCTACCCAGGCAGCGCCCGGTGCCCCTGCCTCCTCCCCAAGTCGAGGAACGGGAGGTTCTGTCGGCCTCAGCCTCACGGGTGGCCCCGGCGTGATTTAGGCGCACAACGAGCTTGTTGCTGGATTTGTGTCACCCCCACCGGAAGCCGCCTGAGCCCTGGGAGGGTCCCAGCAGCATTCAGTGTCACTGGTCACCGACAGCGAGCTCTTCCCCCTGCTTTCCTCCGCTGGCTCTTTCTCCCTCCTCTCCTTAACTCCGTTTTCCTTCTCCCCTCCCCTCCTCCCTCTTCCTTCTTTCTCTCCCTCCCTCCTTCCCATCCATCCGTCTCTCCAAATGTCTTTTGGCTTCCTGCTCTCCGGATGCCCCACCCGGCCCCTTCACACACGGCCCGGCTCCTGTCTCGGGGCTGCCCGTGTGCCAGGCACTCCGGCTGGTGCTGCCCTTGCGTCGTCTCCAGACTGTGCGTGCCAGGGCGCCGGAGACCCTCCCCGAAACGCGCACTCCAGAACTGATGAAGGGTCCGGCCTCATGCATGGTGGGATCCCAGTGCCCAGCCCAGCGCTCTGTTGGATGAAATAGAGTCACAGAGAGGTTAAGTGACTTGTCCAAGGCCACACAGCCAGTAGGCAGCAGAGCCTGGGACTTCACTGCGGTGTCTGCCCCAGGCCGGTGCCCCACCCATTGCCCCCGCCTCTGTTCTCTGCTTTCCCCTCCCTCTCTGCCTCCTGCTCCTCCCTCATCTTTGTCTCTGGCTCTTCCCTTTAGGCCTGTTGCAGCTTGCCTGGGCCTTTGCGTGGAAGCTTCCCCTGTCCCCTTCCCGGCAGTTGCAGAAACCCGTTTTGCCCCCCCAAATGGAGAGGGGCTACCATGAACCCTAACTGTGTGCTCGGAGTAATCAATTACTCTCCGTTTGTGTAGCCATGTGAGGATAATCGGCAGCCGCCATCTGGGCGGCTCCGGGAGGCTGGCAGCGGGGGCAGGCGCAGCCATGGCAGCGATGCTGCAGCAGGAAGCTCCTGCTCATGAGTCTGTGCTGTTGAGGAAGTTTCCGGCACGGAAATCTCACTCCTGGGCTGTGTGTCAGGTCGCCCCACTCTGCCGCTGACCACGGGGGGTGCCTGACCGTGGGACTCACCCACCCCTCTCTGGCCTCCGTCTGCTGACCTCTGCAGTGGGCAGATGCCACCGTCGAGGCCACTCGAGGCACGGATGGTCTGGGGGCGCTGGCCGTTAACGGAGCACCCCGCTCCAAGGGCCTGGCCTGTGCTAGGCTCTTTAAGGGGGCTGTCAGTGCAGCGCTATGGAGGAGGAGGGTGAGGCTGCGCGGTCCTGGGTGGTGTCCATCCCTGAAGGCTGAGGCAGGGCAGGGGTCCCAAGAGCTTGCTTGGGGAGAGTGGTGCAAAGCTGGAGTCCGGGAGCCCCACGCCTCTTCCAGGCCGCAGAAGCTGCCGCAGGGCAGGGGGCGGTGGGGGGTGGGACAGAGCTCGTCATGGCTATTGTCTCCCCCACACCAGGCTTCCTGGACTGGGTCCCCAAGAAGATGCAGCGGGTGGGCTGCGTGGAGCTGCTCAACACGGTGCAGAGGCGCGTCCAGCCGCGGCTACACGTCTTCGGCCACATCCACGAAGGTCAGCACGTGGCGGGGAAGGGGACCTCGCAGGTTGGCGGCTCCTAATGGACCCTTCAGAGGAATCTCCCCTCCCTTCAGCCCATTGCTACTGTTCATTTTGTAACTGCTAGCTGCCATACACACTCTGGCTTCCATGAGCTATTATTAAATGTTTGATAATAGGAAGATGATCACAAAATCCTGCATGACTTAGGGGGTAAATTTTGCTTCCAGGGAGCCCTGCAAGTCTGCTGTGCCTCCTCCTGGGAGGCCATCAGGAGATGGTCAAGGGGTTTTCAGAGGAGTCGGCGTTTGGGCCGCAACACGGAGGATGCATTATATTTGGTGGGCACACTATGAATCCCTTAAAACCAGTGGCCCTGTCTTGTTGCTTCTATCCCCGGGGCCTGGCATACAGTAGGTGCTCATTAAGTGTGGAGGTGAGAGTGATGCCAGCTCCAGTTCTGTTATCCACACGGCCACACCCTGGCCTGTTGCCCCATGCAGATGTCCCTAGTAGACCTCAGCCATCATCACCTCCGCCTCGTTTCACCAGTTCCGCACAGATGCCTCTTTTTTGCTTCACTTGGGTATTGATCCCACCTGCCCAAGGTGCCTCTGTCACATCCCTGCCAGGAAGCATATTGGCTTCTGTGGGATGTCTGGACTGATGTGGTTTCCCTCAGAGGCATCTCCTAGCTTCCTGAACCTCTCTCTGGTTGGAGCAGGGACCCCAGGCCTCCATCTTGTCTGGTCCACATCAGATCATTTTCCAGCTCAAAGGCAAGCGAGCCTCAAATAATTTGTTCCCTGAGGGCCTCTGTAGTTCATGTCAAGGGGCAGCAGTGATCAGATCCCACCTGGCCCTGGAGTCGTTCTTGAAGGAGCCCTGGGAAGCAGATGAGTCATCGAAGCAGGATCTGAGAGGTCCCGGAAGAGGTGGGCAACTCACATGCTGTGCGATAATAAAGACTGTCATTTTCTGTGGCCCTATTATGGGCATGCAGCTCCATCAGATCCAAAGTTGCCTGTGACCAAAACCACACCCCTGCACAATTGGACAGGCAAAATAGGACTCCAAAGAATAGGTCATCACCCACCCACTGCTCACTCGCTTCCTCCCCCACCACCACACAGCAAAGGGGAAACGTTCCTTCTGTCTTGGAGATGACCTGAGCTAAAGAATGAGGGGGATTCCAACAAATAGAGGTGGTGGGAAGAGAGTACGGTGGGGGCAGAGAAAGTACATGACAGGGATGATAATGATAGTGATGATGATGATGAGGATGGCGTGATGGTAGTCATGGTGATGGTGGTGATAATGATAGATGATGGCCGCGATCACAGGGGTGTTGGTAGTGATGATGGTGATGAGGATGGTGTGATGGTAGTCATGGTGATGGTGGTGATAATGATAGATGATGGCCGTGATCACAGTGGTGTTGGTAGTGATGATGGTGATGAGGATGGCGTGATGGTAGTCATGGTGATGGTGGTGATAATGATAGATGATGGCCGCGATCACAGGGGTGTTGGTAGTGATGATGGTGATGAGGATGGCGTGATGGTAGTCATGGTGATGGTGGTGATAATGATAGATGATGGCCGTGATCACAGTGGTGTTGGTAGTGATGATGGTGACAGAGACAGTGTCAATGATGATGATGATACTGAGGATGACGGTGGTAGTGGTGACAGTGGTGATAATGATCATGATAAACCCATGACGGTGATTGTGATGGTGATGATGGTGCTGATACAATAACGAGGGTGATGATAATGACAGTGGTGTTGATGGTGGTGATGGTCATGGTGACATCATTGATGACAGTGATGATGATAGTGATGATGATGGTATGGTGGTGATATGGTGATGATCATGGTGGCGTTGGTGATAACATTCTTGGTGGTGGTGGTGACAAATGGTAATTTTAAGGGCGGCGATGATGTTGACAGTGATAGCGACGATGATGGCATTGATGGTGATGATGTTGATGGTGATGGTGGTGGTGGTGGCGATAATGATAATAATGATAGGAGCAGTGATGACAATAGTGATAAGGGCAGTGAAGATGATAGCATTAGTGATGATGGTGGTGGCGGTGGCGATAATGATAATGATAGGAGCAGTGATGATGATGTTGATGGTGATAGGATGATGGCGTTGGTTATGATGATGCTGATGGTGGTGGTGATTGTCGTGATGATGGCATTAGTGACGGTGGTGGTGGTGGTGGTGATGAGGGTGGTAATGATGATGTTGATGGTGACAGTGATGATGGCACTTTTGATGATGTTGGTGATGGCAGTGGTGGTGGTAACGGTGATGATAAGTAGTGATGATGATAACGGTGATCGTGATGATAGCACTAGTGATGATCATGATGGTGATGGTCACGGTAGTGGTGATAATGGCGGTGATGACGGTAAGGGTGGTGGTGATGATGCTGCTGATAGTGATGATGGTGGTGATGGTGATGAGGATGGTGGTGAAGATGATGTCGATGATGATGACTCACTGTGTGCTTCTCACGTTTCAGGCACCGGGCCGAGCATAGTGCATAGATAATTGTCTCGTTTAATCCTCACAGCAAGCTTGGAAGTGGCATGTATCATTATCATCTCCATTTTACAGATGAAGAGACTGACCTTGAGAGTTTAGGAGCTTGCCCCAGACACATTCAGCCCACAGGGGCCGAGGGCCCTGTGACTGCCACACCCACCTGACCATCCTCGCTGCTCTGGCTGCTGGCCTGACGGGCGTGTGCTTACTTTCCAGGGTATGGTGTCATGGCAGATGGGACGACCACCTATGTGAACGCGTCCGTATGCACTGTGAACTACCAGCCCGTGAACCCGCCCATAGTCATCGACCTCCCCACACCCCGGAACTCCTGACTGCTCCCCGCTGCCCCAGCCCTGCCCGCCCACGTCAGCTCCATAGGCCTTGCCCGGCCACTGTTCCTTCCATGCTGAGTCGCCTGGATGAGCCATCTGGCTGCAGGGACTGGCCTAGCAGGCAGGTCGGGGTCTTGGAACGACTCTTCAGCCTTCTGTCACCTGGAGCTGGGACCCTGCACATCCCCATCAGGGGTTCTGTGCTCATTACTTTTTCTGCGTGTACATCCTGTGTGTACCTTGTTAAAGAACCTTCTAAGCTCATGGCCCTGTCATGTTTGGGAAATGACTGAATCTTCATTCTTCTCACTTGGACGTCCTCCTGGTTTGGGAAGCTGCTGCTCTTGAATGGGTTTTGGAAATTACGCGGAATCTCCCTCTGACCACAGATCTGCGTGGCTGTGGGAAGACTGTGGGCACACGCGGGCAGTCCTTGCTCTCCCCCCAAGTGAGGGAGGAGACAGGCCCAAGGCGGAGGCCCTCCGGGGAGCATTTAGGGACATCTCAGGAATTCAGACCGCACCTGGCCAGGCCCACCGCAGTTTTGCCTGGCATTGTCCCCCCCTCTTCTTCCTGTAGGCATTTCTGTTGACTTTAGCAATGGCCTGAGTGTCCCAGGTACTCACCCGGAGCCTGGACCATGGGGGCTGGTTCTACGGGATGAGCTGCCGGTGTGTGTGCCCAGGACCAGCGAGAGGGTTCCCCAAGGGGGGACGACCCTTGGCCCCATGGGGACCATGCTGCTCTGCAGAACTCAGGAGCCTGGAGGGAGGGTCTGCAGGCTGAGGCTGCAGCAGCTCTGCCTGCCGTGGCGTGAACCCGTATCCAGGCATGCACTGACACACGCGCACGCATGCACCCCTCTTAGTTTGACGAAGTAGGTCCTGTTTCTCCTTTCTGCCCCGCAGTGAGGTTCTGTTCCTTGGTGTGGTTTCCCTTGCACCGTTAGGATTCTGTCTGGCATCCGCCTGCAGCTGAAGGAGCCTAAAAATCCTTGTTGTCCTCGGACCAGCCAGCCCTGTGAATGGGAAGCTGTTTCCACCCCCCATCTGCCCATCCATCACTCATTCATCCCTCCATCCCTTCGTCCATCCCTCCCTCCACCGCCATTCATCATCCATCCCCCGTCTATCCTCCTGTGAACGGGAGGGTGGCACAGGAACAAAGCGGGCCCCAGGCTCCAGCAGCTCCTCCTTGGACAGCAGCTTTTTCTTTGAGTTCGGACTGGTGGGGTGGGGGGCAGGGCAGAAGTGGGAACACGTAGGGCAGGGGCAGGCAGGCAGGCAGAAACGGACGGGCAAGTGCCGGGGCGGATTCTGTCCTTATTTAATATTTTGTTCATCATGGACTTTTTCTTTTGCATTTCTTTTGATTTTTAACATCGCATTAAAGTAGGATTCTTTGTCCTGGTTGGTGACTATTTTGCACCCCCTTGACGTTGTACATCTGAGAGGAGGGGGTCACTCCCTCACCAGGTCCCAGTGCGGGGAACTAGCCTGCAGTGAGCCCTTTGTAGTCTCATTTCACCCTAAGATGGCCCTTCAAGGTAGGTACTTTGTCCCCATCTTAGAGATGAGCGGCTGGGGCCAGAGGGGTGTGGTGACTCGCCTGGGGGCTCACAGCACAGGAGGAGCTGAGGCAGGATCTGACCCTCGGTCTCTGGCCTCATGGCCCTCGCTTTGCCATGACCCGAAGTTATGTCCCTACAAAGCAATGCATGGTCCGAGGCTCTTCTTATTGTATTTTTATTTTGAAGGGTCCTGTTCAAAACTGGTCTGAGCTCTGAGGAGTCCTGAGCCCTGGGCGCAGCATCCCGGCATCCCGGGAGACGGGGATTCCTTTTCTGCCCGCGCCGAGCCGGGCTCCCTGAGGGGTGGGGCTGCTGTCTCTGGAGGCTTGAGCTGAGGCTGAGCGCTGTGGGGCGCAGGGCTCTGGGAACCCCGTTTGGCCGAAGGGGCTCCTGTAGCCGGGATGTGTACGAGGTCTCTCCGATGCCTCAGGCGCAGGATGTGCACGGTGGACGAAACCTGACCCTTTCAGTGCCAGCTCCGCCCAATTTCTATGTGGACCAAGAACTTCAAACTCAAAAACATTTTTTTCCTAAGGTATCTTCAGAATATGGTGTATTTTTATGTGGAAAAGAAAAGTTATGACGGCAGCTGTTACTTTAAGAGAAAATTCGTTAGGAGTCCTCGAGGTATGGAGATGACGGCGTGAACTTCAATCATTTTGGCATAACTTGATTGTGGCTGTAATTTTTTTTTGTCAAGCATGTCAGACAATAAAGTCTTTGTAAAAAGAGAAGTCCGCGCCGCGCTCCCTCCTTCTGCGTCTCTGGGTGTTGCCTGGGGCGCGAGGTGGCGGCGGGGTGTCCCCCTGCAGAATGCGGAGGCCCCGGCGGACTTGGAGACTGAAGTCTCCCGGGTGGCAGCGGCCGGTGTCCCTCTGCTTGCTTTAGCCTCCCCTGAGGCGGGGGGATCGCAGAGGTGGTGGCGTGGGCAGTTCTGGGGCCTCTTGTGTTCCAGCGCTTGGCTGCCCGGTCTCCCAGAACAGAGGCCTTAGCGCTGGACTCGTCCTGGAATTGGCGTGTTCAGCCCAGCCTCTGTGAAACGGGGTCCGGGCATTGCCCAGGAGAAACACTGGCAGGTACAACGACCCTAGTTTCAAAGCCCCCAAGCTGTAGAAGCTCTGCCATTCTTACCCATCTGTCCCTCCATCCCTCCAGATGCCATCTGCCCCTCCTTCTACCGTCTACCCATCCCCCATCCCTCCCTCCCTCCCTCCCTCCACCCATCCATCCCCCGTTCATCCATCCCTCCATCCAACCCATCCATCCTTCCATCCCTCTGTTCACCCCATCTATCCCTCCATCCCTTTATTCATCCCCATCCATCCATCTACCCCCCACTCACCCCGCCTCATCCATCCGTCCTCCATCCATCCCTCCATCCATCCCTCCATCCATCCCTCCATCCATCTACCCCCCACTCACCCCGCCTCATCCATCCGTCCTCCATCCATCCCTCCATCCATCCCTCCATCCATCCCTCCATCCATCCCTCCATCCATCCTTGCCTCCCTCCTCCCCTCCCACTTTCCATCCATCCATCCAGCCACCCACCCACCCATCCAGTCTACAAATGCCATTGAGCACCTCCCACGGATCTTGCTTGGGCTGGGGAAGTGGTGGTGGTGGCGGTGAGGGACGGATGTGGCCATGGGGGAGGGACAGCCAAGGATAGCCGTGGATGCTGGCTGGACATGGAGGCGGGGCACAGGAGCAGGAAGGACAGGCCTGAGGAGGGGCCTGGAGTTCTGTTTGGGACTCATGAGCTGGAGGAGACTTTGGGCTAGACTGGGGCGGTGTCCAGTGGGTAAACGGGGAACAATGTCTCTGGAGCCAGATGTGGGTCAGAAGCAGAGACGTGGGGCAGGGGAGACCTCCCAGGGAGGTGTGCAGGGCAGGGGGCAGCCTGGGACAGACCACAATGTGCCTCCATGGCCCTCTCCTGTTCTCAGACTGGCCCCACCTGCCACCTGCCCCTCCAAGAGCCCCATCCACTAGGGTCTCACAGGGGTGTACAACGGCCCTCCCAGGCCCTGGCTCCCCATCCACAGGCCCCGAGGAGCTGCTTAGTTTGAGGGGCCCTGGCTGCTGCTCTTGGCCAGCATGCACCCCAGCAGGGCTCCTGGGCAGGGGCAGGGGCAGGGACAGGGACTCTGTGGCTTCTGCCCCTGGTGGTGCAGCCACAGGGCAAGTGCTGCCGGAATGCGTCAGGGTCCCATCTGCCCAGCTGAGATCCTGCTGGACGGGTAGACAGCTCTGGGTTGTCCGGGGCGCTGCACCAATGGTGAGGGCATCCTGGTGTCAGAGCCTCGGCTCCTGGGAGAGCAGCACTCTGGGCTCAGCCATTGTTCCCCAGGCAGCCCGGAGGCACAGGGGACGGAACAGCACGGGGCCCACGACCACTTTCCATTGCCAGTGGGGGTCTAGGGCCGAGGGCAGCGGGCTGCCTCCCCTCCCTGCCTCCGCTCTGACCGTGTGTCCGCTCCCAGAGCCCCAGAACCAGCAGCTCCGTCTTGCAATTTGCTTCCGTGGAGCTAATCCTTGAACCCCCGTGAGGACCAAGTTCCTAGGAATTTTTCTTCTAGGAGACCCACTCCCCAGAATGAATCCTGAATGAACTGGCAGAGGTACAAGCCCTGTGGACCGGGGCTCCACTCAACTCACCCTGATGCCACCTACAGCTCCCACCTGGGCCCAAACCTGCCTAGCCAGCTTGGGGGCCTTTATCACGTACACCTGAGAGGCTCTGGCCTATTTCCCATCGAAGGCACAGCTGAAAAGGTCTCCACAATGTGGGGATTAGGGCTGACATCTAGAAACTCGGTGCACTCTTGAAGGCTCATCTGACCCCAGAAGAAAAGCTGAACCCCTCAGGCCTTCTGTGTGGGGCCCAGTGAGCGGCAGACAGGTCAGTCTTGGGGGCCCTGGGGAAAAGCAAACCCAGCCTGCAGGGGTGGTCAGAGAAAGCTTCGGGAGGAAGAAGCGTGGTTGGGCCACGAGCAGCAGGAAGCCACGGGGTTGGGAGGCCCAGCTCCGTGGCACTCAGCACACCTGTCTCATTTAAGATCCGCAGCAACGCCGCAGGGCACAGAAGAGGAAGCTGAGGCTGGGAGGGGTGTGAGTCGCCCGCGGCTCGGTGAGTCTTCCTTTTTGTGGCTCGTCCTTCGCAGACCCGCCTGAACGTGCTTTCACCAAGGACAGAGGGCAAGCCCGAGGGCAAGTTGAGCTATGCAACTGTTATTTTATTTTATTTATTTTTGAGAAGGAGTTTCGCTCTTGTTGCCCAGGTTGGAGTGCAGTGGCACAATCTCGGCTCAGCGCAACCTCTGCCCCCCGGGGCTCAAGCAATTCTCTCGCCTAGGCCTCCCTAGTAGCTGGGATTACAGGCATGCACCACCATGCCCAGCTAATTTTCATATTTTTAGTAGAGACAGGGTTTGCCGTGTTGGCCAGGCTGGTCTGGAACTCCTGACCTCAAGTGATACGCCCACCTCGGTCTCCCAAAGTGTTGGGATTACAGGCGTGAGTCACTGCACCCAGCCTATTTATTTTTTTTTTCATTAAAAATGTTTGTATTTTGCTGGGCATGGTGACTTATGCCTATAAATCCCAACACTTTGGGAGGCTGAGTCAGGAGGGTTGCTTGAGCTCCGGGGTTTGAGACCAGCCTGGGCAACATTTGTCTCCTGCTCTACAAAATTAAAATTAGCCCGGTATGATGTCATGTGCCTGTAGTCCTAGGTGCTTGAGAGGCTGAGGTGGGAGGATTGCTTGAGCCTGGGAGGTTGAGGCTGCCGTGAGCCGGCACTACAGCCTGGGTGACAGAGGGAGACCCTGTCTCACCAAACAAACACGCAAACACAACGCTTTTTATTTTGAAATACTTTTAATTTTGAGGAAGCGTTGTAAGGCTAACACAGGGAGTTCCTCCATACCCTTCAGATGGTTTCCCCTGCATATCCGTGATACATTTATCCAAACTAAGAAATCGACGCTGGTATCACAGTGTGAAATACAGTCTTTACCTGGACGTCAACAGGTTTTGCCGAGTGATCCCGGGCTGCGTTCAGTCACCATGGCTCCCAGCTCTCTTCCAGTCTAAGACGGTTAGACCGTTTCTCCTATTTCCTTGCTTTTTCTGACGGTGGAAGTTCTGAGGTGTGCTGGTTGAGCGTTCTGTGGAATGTCCTTCGGTTCGTGTTTGTCTGCCATTTTCTCAGTCGTCTGGTGCTAACGTGTTTTTGAAAAAAAAAAAAAAAAAAAAAAAAAACCCACGGAGGGGAAGACGCCATCACAAGGCATCCATCTGGGGTGACTCAAGAGGAGCAGGATGCAGCCTGGCGACGTCCATCTCCCTCCCCTGGTTAAACTGATGGCCGCGGGTTTCTCTGCCGTATCCCCTGATTAAACTGACGTCTGCGGGTTTCTCCGCTGTAAAGATGCGGCTGTTTTTCTTTTTCCACATTCAGTCTGTTAGGAGCGAGTCACTAGGTCCAGCTCCGCTCACGGAGGGAGGAGTTGAGCGTCTCCTCCTGGAGAGAGGAACGTCAAAGCATTTGTGGGCCTATGTGAAAAGCAGCATGGTGATTAATCAGTATTTGGGGGCGGTACTGCGAGGCCATGCCAATATCCCCTTAAAGGTTTGCCCACTCCTTTCAGCAGCCATCGGCAGGTCTTGGCTTCCGCGGTCGCCACGGCGGCGCTCACAAGCCGACTCTCGGTTTCCTCGTTCCTCCCGCAGTGCTGTCCTGGGATTCTTCCGTAAGGAAGATGGTCCCCTCTCTGCCGTCGGTGCACTAATCTCACTCCGAACTCATTATTTGATTCTTTGGGTTAGAAACTGATGGTATCATTATCTGTTTTATGGCTTCAGTGGTTGCAGCTTTGTCCGCTGGAAGCTCGGAGTCCTCGGGTTTATTGATTTTGCCTCCTTACCGTCGGGCAATGGAAGATCTTCTAGGCGCCTCCTGCCTTGCCCTGGCCTTATCATCAGTCGTTTGTCCAGAAAGCCCCAGCTCCTTTCACTCAGAAACTAAGATCTGGGGCCAGGCGCGGTGGCTCACGCCTGTCATCCCAGCACTTTGGGAGGCCGAGATGGGTGGATCGCTTGAGGTCAGGAGTTCGAGACCAGCCGGACCAACATGGTGAAACCCCATTTCTACTAAAAATACGAAAATTAGGTGGGCATGGTGACAGGCACCTGTAGTTTCAGCTAGTCAGGAGGCTGAGGCAGGAGACTCACTGGAACCTGGGAGGCAGAAGTTGCAGTGAGCCAGGATGATACCACTGCATTCCAGCCTGGGTGACAGAGTGAGAGTCTCAAAAAAGAAAAAAGGCCTGGGCGGTGGATGTGCTGGTCGCCCTTTCGGCATCACTGCTCCTCGGCCTTCTTGGAGACAGAGCTGGGAAATAGATTTAGTGTACTAACCCACTCATGCACACGTATTTATCTGTCTCTACCTCTATCCACCCACCCACTCATCTAGCAATCATCGACCCCATCTCTCCATCCCTGTCTCTGTCTGTCAGTAAACATTAATTCATACTGATAGCCCCACCTCCCGTTCTAACCCAACAACGCAATCTCAGCAACGCAACTGATTCTTGCCTTTCTACCTTGTTCATTTACAACTTTTTTTTTGGTTTTTTTTTTTTTTTTGAGAAGGGGTCTCACTCTGTCACCCAGGCCGGAGTGCAGTGGTGTGATCTCAGTTCACGGCAACCTCCACCTC